AGAGAGAGAGAGAGAGAGAGATTTGCGGCGAAAAAAGGTGTTGTAAATCGACGACAAGCACCGCAGGAGGGAGTGGTGGACTGGGGGCCTCGCGGACAGGCACTCTTGCATGTCACGACGGATTAGAGCTCGTACTTAGCACAAACGCTGTGAGCTGTGAGCGCTGATGATGAACAGTGATGAACAAAACAAAAAAAAACTGCGAGGTGGAGCATTTAAGCACCAAGTAACGAACGGGAATGGACATCGCCTACTGTACACTAATGCATGCCGCACAACAACATCATATCAATGGCGTGCATGTGGAAACTGCCATGCGATCGGCCACGCCCATAACCACGAACAAAAATGACCACGCGTTCAGAACCACCCCCCAAAACAAGACACTGACCACGGGTGCGTCTTCCGCGTTCTCCTGGGCCTCCATAAACCAGTAGAAAATGTTGCGGCCGTTCTCCGCGTCCACATTTATGTAGCCGGAAAACATGCTGAAACCGTCCTTGACCTCGAGGTTTTCGGCCCCGGGAAGAGTCGACCAATCAACTTTGTCAGCCAGCGCCTCGGGCGTGTAGTCTGCAACGGCGCAAGGACCATTAACCAAAAAAACAGAAACTAAGAAATCACGGCGGCGTTGGGTTTACGGGCGCCGAGGGGACGAGACCAAAATACACGCTGCGTCGTGTCGTAAAACTGTGTGCAGATTTGTAAACTGATGTTTCCGCCCGTTCCTCCGGTGAGAGCGGGACGAGACTGTTGCGCAAGAGAAGAAAGGCGTAGACATAACCTGCGTCTTGCGTGTGCAGTGTGTAGCGGGGGTGGGGATGTGCCTGTGAAGCAACACGATGAAAATAAACAAAAGCATGGTGATGGAATAGAGTCGAGAGCGAGCAAGTACAGCGATTTTTGAGACACAACCACTGCGATAGATGTGGTTGCTGGTATCAGTGGTTCCTGTACATGTTCGATCCCGAATCCATACCACACCCGTACACTTGCAGTCAATTTATTTGTTTTTCATCGTGTTTCTCCACCCCCGATACACACTGCTTGACAAAGCATAGCAGTTGCCAAGCTTGGCGAAAACTTGACCAGATGATCATGTGACAATGCGAATATACCCATAATGCCTACGGCTCTCTGCACTTGCGCCGACTACCCCGTCCCACGCTTAACGGGGAACAGGGCGGATCGACACACCACATGGGGTCCGAAAATGATGATAACTCGGTTTCTGGTATGCATCCCCGAAAAACGAAATAGGCTTGGATTTGATCAGTAACTACCCGGGTGGTCTATCACCGTTTTAGGGTACACTTAGAAATCAAGACGTCTGCACTCCCAGGCAGCCAGCTGACCGGCCGAAACACCATCGTACCCACGTTTGGAGAATCCTCCATCGGGTACAGCTCCCGCTGGGATCTCGACCCAAATTTAGTGTAATCAATGCCGGACATAAGTGCACCCGGAAGGGGTCGATTTTGCACCAATCAATGGTCAATTACATCCCGTGCCCGACGACTCTTAACCCGCAGAAAAACTGTGTGCCGCACATGCCCGCACAACCATGTACCCGCACAAATGCTCATTGATGGGCACCGCCTCCAGAGGATACCAATCTCCGACAACCTCCTCCGTAGATCGCTGCGAGACAGAACCGCGAAACCAACGTGTCCTGTGCCTCGGAAGCGAGGCAGGTCGTGCCCGCTTTGTCTATCTGTGCCTCTCTGTGCTTACTTATCAGCACCACAAGCAGTGAGTCAATTCGCGCGTTAAGCGAGCTCGACCCTCTGTGGAGGCGGTACATGTGTGTGGGTACGTGCGGTACACGGTGCTTTCTGCGGGTTTTAAGAGTCGTCAGGCGCCGGGATATTATGACCATGTCTGGGTACAAAACCGACCCCTTTCGGGTACACCAGTGCCACCTATGTGGCACTGGAGGGTCTTGAAATGCCGCTGGCTACATGTACCTGGGGGTGCATGCGTGTTAATTTCCAAGTGTACCTTGAATGGTGATACACCAACCGGGTACACCAGTTTCTGGTTACTTCTCAGATTTGCACTGCCAACAAATTTTACATTTTGGAAGTAATGACGTTGAGAATTGGATCCCAGTCTATTTCCTGACTTGTTGATACAAGCAGTGCTTGTGCTCAACGGTGTTGGAAATTAATGTTTTTAGGAACCCACTCACGAAATTCGTTTCTGAACTGCTGGCGCCATCTGTACGCCCCCCGCGCTCGTACCTATGTTACCAACTAGACAGCGGTATGAATCCTACAGCAGCAACTTCTTGAGCAACCCGGCCATCCCGTACATGGCGGACAGAAAGCGCGAGCACGCTCGATACACGTCAAGCCACCTCTACTGTACCAAAGAATTCGCAAGTGAGTCGCATGTCATGTCCATGCAATTGGACACGTGCGCTGACCGTAGGTGACGCAAGATACCACGCCCCCTGCACCGATTTGCAAAGTCCGACTACTCCACGGTTAAGGGGATGCATGAACGAACCGATGAGCTTCGGAAAGCTCTCGAAGAGACGGGTCCAACGTCCCCATGCGGCACCGTCGTTATTTGGACCGCCGAAGCAGGATTTTAAGAGTATCTAGAAAAAGAACAGGGAGGGGGCACGCAGACCCTATCCCTAGCCCTAACCCCAAAGCACGGATTGGATACTTTATCCCTTATGTTTGCTTAACCAATTTTGCTGCGTAGACTAATGCATTTTTCTACGGTGGAGAGAGCGAGGTTTGAAAAATCGATAAATCGGTCAAGGAGGGGTGATATCTTACGTCACCATCAAATTCGTATGCGAACTGGTTACAGCGGAGCTCTATGTATTGGGAGTTGGGTTAGGGTTCAGACTATAGGGATCGTCTAGGGGGTCAGGGTTCGGTTACAACGCCTTAAGGCCTTGTAAAGCCTAGCACCCTAGTGCAGCCTGAGCACTGGAAGCCCGCTCATATTTACTTTTGTTTCGTGTCCACCTTCAACTACAACACACTCTGTTGAACTGGTGTGCGCAACCATGTCCCCCGCTGGTGTACGCACGCCGGCTAGGACGGGGACGGCGCCCCGCTGCCATATGACGACCGACAGAGGACATACATACAGCAGCACGCACACCCACACAGGGAGGCGAATAGCAAAGGGACCCATCCCAGGGTCGAGGCGACACGCCGCCTAGCAAAGGACACGAACAGAAGCAAGGCAAGGAAGTCCCCGCGGCAAAACACAGCTGCTGTTGAGCACAATCGGGAGCGGGGTGATGCTGTGATGCTCCGCCCGGCATCCTTCGAACACGACTCATCCCGCCGCTCTGCCTCGCTTTGGCGGACAAGCTACGGCAGTGGTATACACGTCGCGGTGTCCCGTCCCAATCGCTTCTTTAGGACGGGCGCAAGTCATGAATAGCGTCCCACATGCAGGGTCAGCATCAGTACAACACAACAATGTAGCACCGACTGTTTTGAAGAAGTTGGGGAAGGTGGCGCTCTTTATCGGTGTGTCAACCAAGACACTCACCTCCCACAACCACCTGCAGGCAGGATAAGCCAGCGACTGAGCACGCCAACAGGCCCAATGCTTTGAAAATCGTCATTGTCTTCCGGCTCGTTTCCTTCCTTTCTGCTGCTTTGTCCTCGCCTTCCTTCTGTCATGTGCCAAGGTACTCTCTGTCTCTTCTCAGCAGGTTTAAACAGTGCAAATTTGCACACCCTGGACAACTATCAACTATCAACTAACTAGTTAGTTGGTTTGTCGGCAACTACTGCTAGTTGCCTCCAGACAACTAGTTGCCCAACATTTTGACCCGAGAGTTGTTTACAGACAACTAGTTGCCCAACATTTTGAACCGAGAGTTGTTTGCAGGCAACTAGTTGCCTAACATATTGACCCGAGAGTTGTTTGCAGGCAACTAGTTGCCCAACA